CCTGCTCCCAAGACCGGCCCACCCAGACATCTGCCCTGCTCGGGGTCCCTGGCTATCCTGACCCGGGAGGCCCGTACTTGCACAGTATATACCCCCAAAACAAGCCTGTGAAACTCTGGTCAGACTTCCAGGTCTCTCCAAATGGAGGGATACGCTGTCTTGCTGGAATGCCCCTTTCGTGGCAAGGCAGTGGAAAATTCTCCAGCTCTGCCTTGGGTGGGGGGGGGGCAAGGATTAGGCAGAAGCTAGACATCCCAGTATCCCCTTCCTCTGACTGGGAGTCTCCTGACACTTGAGCTTTCCACGTCCCTGGCTGTTCTGACCTGCACAGCCTACAAGTACACAGTTTTTAAAGCCCTTGGGCAGGTGTCTTGGACCACCACCCCCCACACCCACAAGCCTGTGCCATTCCAGCCAATCCTCAACCACCTGCATAAAGTGTGGAGGGAGGCCACCCTCTGAGAACTGCTCTGAGACAGCCACAAAAATGGGCAAGAATCGGGCCCCACGTACTTACCTTTAGCTATTATCTGGAGCTTTTGCAACATCAAGGCTCCCGGCTGTCGGATATTGGAGGCTCCCCTGGCCAGCCTAGTGGATTCAGCCCTGGCAAGGCAGCCCCAATTCCTCCAGCTCTGTCTTCAAAGGAAATGTGCACACTTGTGTTGGATAGGGCTTAAAATCAGGCAGATGCCTTGTAATGCGAGAAGCCCACTTCCATGAGATGGCACCATGTTCCAGAACTTTGGCTACGCCGACCTGGAAGACCCACGCATGCACCGTATGTACCGGTAAGCCACCCTGGGTGGACGAGGCCCTCCACCTGGGAGACTCTGACCAGACCCCAACCACCTGAATATTGTTACAAACTAAGAGCTGCAAGTGGACCACAGGATTTACAGCCTACTGGCATCCTGCACCCCCATAGGAACCAGGACTCCCACTTGTCTCCAAATGGAGGATAGACTGCTCTTGTGACCTGACAGCTGGGCCTTTCCTTGGCAGGTTAGTTGAAAAACCTCCAGTTCTGCCTTCAGAGGGACTATTCCATAATGGGTGGGTAGGCTTTGCACATCGGACCAACTCCTTGCGCCTGATAGCTCTCTCTGGTGACCCAACCTCACCCAACATTGCCTTGTTCCAGGCGCTGGGTACCCTGACCTATGGAGCCCACACATGGGCAGTCATGTCCCATTGCCCAGACTTAGGCTACAAGGGACGTTTCAGGCTTCTTCAGGTGTGGCGGTGGCATCTTTCTGCCCTGTAGGCTGCATGTATTTGGGACCAGCAAGAACTCCACAGGCATGGAGGGCTCCAGCTACCTTAAGTTCTGCTGATGGGGTGCCTACTATTTATAGGCAGGCTCCAGAGCTCAGGGATCCAGAACTGGTCAAGTGTTGGGAGAGGCCAGGTCTCAAGAGCGGGCCCCTGGAGGTCCATGACATCTGCCTGATCCCAAGCCCTGACCCACACAAGTGCACATACTCCTCCTCAAAGCAGAGGTGTAGATAAGGTTCTGCTTCGACAGGGCAAGCTGGGTAGGCTGGCCGAGGGATCCTTCAGTGACAGACACCTGGGAGCCTTGATCGCTGGAGGATTCTAGGACCCCATTAGGCAGCCAGTCCAAATGGGGACTGACTGTTCCCAGTTTAAAGCTGCCACCTCACAAAGACTTTTATGAGTGGTCTTCCTTTGCTCTGGACTGTAGCAGCTGGTTGGGGAATGGTGCAAACTCCACAGGCCTGGAGAGACCCAGCTGCCCAAGGCCTGTGGACGGGATGCACGCTTGGGTCCCAGTATGCACGCTTGGGTCCCAGAGGTAGGGAAGCCAGGGACTGGGAACTTAAGTGTCAGGAGATACCAAGTCTCAACAACAGGTTCTTGAGGGGATGCGGAGGGTGGTTGACATTTGTATAATTCCAAGCTCTAGCCCCCAGAAATGCGCATATGCTCCCTGAAGACAGACCTAAAGAACCTGACTCCCTGGCCAGGGCAGGTCTGGGCAAATTGGTGAGAATATCCTCCACTCAAAAGCCCCTGGAGCCTGGGGCACTGAGAAGCCCAAACCCCATCAGGCAGCTGCTCCAAATGGAGACTGAACTGACTCTTGGTAGGATCAAGTAGCCATCTCACAAAGATGGTCGGGGTGGGCTCCCTTCACACTGGAGGCAATGTGAGTGGTTGGGGACCAGTGTTCCACATGCCTGGAGGCCCCCCCAGTTGCCTCTGGCTGACCGGAAGGGTGCAAATTGTGCAAGCATGAGCCACCCAGGTCAGGAGAGCCAGGGAACTGGAACAGGGTACGGGTCTTGAAAGGTTGGTTCGTGGGAGTGTTCCATCTGGGGCACAAGGCATCTGTGTAATTCCAAGCCTTAAGAGATATAAACCTGCGTAAAACCTCTGAATATGAGAGATTCTGAGAGGCCAAGTCACAGACCTGGGTCTTGAGGGAACACCAGATCTGCCTCATTGCAAGTCCTCACCCACCCTAGGCTCCCATTCCTCCTGAAGAGATGATGGCAGGAACTGGATTGCCTTGCAGCAGAGAATGTTCTAGGAGGAAACCCTGGGTCCCCATCAGGCAGCAAGTCCAAGTGGGGTCACTGTCAGCTTTGCAGCGACTGTCTCAGGAAATCTGCAAAGGGGTGGGCTCCCTCCATCTGAAGGGTATGTTATTTGTTATCTGTAATAGTAAAACTCAGAATGGTCTGAGTGAGATACATTCTAAAATGAAAATAGCAAGGGACAGATAAACGCGTTACAATCTGAGGGTTTTGAAGGGGCAGGGGGTGAAGTTGGGTCAGCCTGGTGGTGGGTATTAAGGAGGGCACGTATTGCATGGAGCACTGGGTGTGGTGCATAAACAATGAATTCCAATACACTGAAAAGTAATGAAAAAAATAAAAAACTTTTTTAAAAAGAGAGATTAGGGGCGCCAGGGTGGCTTAGTCAGTTAAGTGACTGATTTTTGATTTCAGTTCAGGTCATGATCTAAGCATTGTGAGACAGAGCCCTGCGCTGGGTCCCACGATGAGCATGGAGCCTGCTTAAGAGTCTCTCTCTCTGTCTCTCTCTCTGCCCCCACTACCCACCTACTTATGGGCTCTCTCTGCCTCGCTAAAAAAAGAAAAAGAGAGAGAGAGATTAATGGCCACTGGAAGGATGTCAGAAATTAATAAAATTATAACCTTATTCAGTGAGGGAAGAGATATGACAGAAGGAAGACTACTCAGCATGAAGACCCTTCACATAGTAGTCTGCCTTCTAAAACATGTAGATGTTTTCCTTTTTTTTTAAAGTTAGATTAGAAAAATAAGCAGCAAAATCTAAAATTGAAAAAATATGAATGCAAATAAATGTAAAACTTAATCTCTTAAGAGAGTCAATCAAATAAGAATCACTTTAAGTTGCTTTTTAAGAAAGTACTCACACTCAGAGTCAAGCATCCTGGGACAAAATAAACACATGACATTTTAACCTTCATTTGCTAGTTTAACTGGTAATAGTAACATTTGCATGACACTTTTGATATTATTTTCATGGATATTGAAATATAAGAATATATACATAAAGAGGAAAGGGGAAGATGTGTTAAAAAGAATTTTCTTAACCCTATATTATCATACTTGAATTGGAAAATCCAATAAGAACTAATAAATTTGAAAATTCATTTCTATTTCAAATTTCTGACAACCAGAAGACCCTGAAAGTAAAGACACTTCAATGGTATTGAACACTTCCAACTAGCATGAATAGTACAACTTGGATTCTAAACACTGTGATCCAATAAAAGGAATCAGAACTTCTTGGAAAGATGTACGGTTATGGGTGTTGTGTAGGGAGGTAGACAGTGAGCCTGGAATGTCATGTTGTGCTAAAAAGAAGAGAAATACTCAGACTGATGGGGATATAACAAAGCAATCAGGGGCCAGTTGCAAGACATTCACTAGCCAAATTTGGGATTATTTATGCTTCAAAGAATAATGATTACAATCGATTGCAACAAATTGAGTAAATAAAAATTCACAAATCCAGGCCAATACCATGCTTAAAAAGTCTTTAAATCAATCACAGAAGGTCACTATTACATCAAGTCCTTACTCCAAATATTGAAAATAAATAGAAAAAAATAAAGATTTACCAGATCATATTAGGTGAAAGTTTAAACAGAGTTGATAAATTAGCACTCACCTTTATACAAGAATGACAGAAAGTGCAAAAAAAGATATAATTGATCTTAAAAATCACTATTTTGAAATAACTGATTTTATACAGGTATCATATATAGATTTTATAAACATTAGGTGAGAGGTTTTGGAGAATAGTATGTATACACAAGTGCTAACATTAACAGCCAAGATAACTTGCCAATTCTAACAGTGTTTCCTTATTTGTGAGCAAACTGGCTGTTACCAATGATTCACATTTAGATAAATTGACTCCACTGGTGACAGGTTTCTCATTCGAAGCAGGAATGCACTTGGTTTGATGCAATGCAAAGTTACAAGATATCACCTTAAAATATTTTTATCTTAATTATGTATATCTTTATTTTCACCTTAAAGTTGTGTTTTTGTAGAAATTTAAAATGCTTTTAGTCAACTGGTACTAATTATGTTGTTTGAAATGTATGAACATAAAAATTGTATTTGACTCTTGTCATTGTTTCCAAAGCCCTCCATACCAGCAAAATCATGAAAATATTTTTAGATCTAAGGATAATCACCAGAAGGCTTTATAGTTCGCAATGTACATTGTCTTACTTTTTATGTATCTTTACTTTAAAATTAGGTATCCTATGGTTCAAAGGTGATATATATTAAAGATAAAAAATTGGAGAATACAGGTAAGCATAAAGGAGTTAAACAGCCCCTCTTCCCTCTATTATCTCTAAATTCAATTAGTTATAAATTTTTGTGCTTTCTGCCAGCCTTTATTCCTTTATTCTATAAACATTTATTCAGTATTCAAAGCATTGTGTGTGTGTGTGTCTATACTTGATATTGGACTTTTGAAGTCACTTTTAATGTAGTTATAGTTATGCCCCTAGTTAGATTTGAATTCCTCTTTATGATTTGTTTGAATTATTATGTTTGCTAGATACACATAAGAGATCATGCATTTCATCATTTTTTGGCATATCTATCTATTGAGAGAAAAGCAAACTAAATAACTTCTTACATCTTATAAATAACATAGGTATGACACAGTTAGGTTTCTATGTGTTGTAAAGTGAAATGACTTTGAAGATGAGTGCAAGCATTTTCCCCCCATTTTCTCTGAAATAGAGAGCTTCAGGAAGCCTCAGGAGTTATGGAGAAATCTTTGAGAAAGTTAGGAGAAGGATGGAAAGGAGCAGGCATTGAAGAGATCACAATTAATTTCTTGCCACAGATATTCTATGACTAGGACACATAGCATTTTAGTTCACCAAGTTTTAATATGGTGTTTTTAAGAAGTGATTCATTTGTCCCTCAGGTTATGTCTATCATCCACATACTATTTAACACAAATTCTGATTTACGAATAAAAATGAGTAATAGTTGAAAAAATGAGAAGAACTGGATTCATCATGGAAACTTCGGAATAAATGTACACATTATAATTTTAGGACTGTATCTTAATCATTGCTTTATACACAAGTGGGATATGTCAGTTTCCCTTCCTGACAGGTTGTTCGAAATGAGTCACCTTGTGACTTTCTATGATATCCAACTTTACATATAAATTCAATAATATCCCCTGTTCTAGAATAAAATTTTTTCTCATGTCTCCATCGCAACTGTATATTATGTTTTTCCATGATTTCTTCTGATACCACACATGCATCTGAAAGTACAAAAATGAACATAAAACATTAGGTTAGCATTCAAATATTTGCCACAGAATTTCAGATTTTCAAGTAGAATATTCTACACTGACCTAGCACTTCATTGTCAAAAACTTTTCCAAACTAACTCACTGAAAATCCATCATGTAGACTTAAGTCATTTTAAACAAATGATGTAAAAATGAGGTATTGTGTTTAATGTGTAATAATTAGGTATTATAATCAAAGATACAAAATGTCAGCTATCACATGAAGAGCTTTTATTAAAGAATCTTTTGTTGCTGTTATTGCTTGAACAAGAATTTTCCCAACTTGATTTCCTCATATATTAATATTTGGTAGTCAAGAATTCAACAGAATTGTTGTTTGTTAATTCATGAAAATTCTATAAATAGGAAAACATCATATTCATTACATAAATTTTCCCAGGATCCATGAGAATATTAAAGTATTTACCTAAGCATTTTGGTGGTTCTGACCACTGTCCATTACTACATATTATAGTACTGTTTCCATGAAGTACATAGAAGGTCTGGCATTGGTACTCAACTGATGATCCCGGAGCATAAGATTTTAATGGGAATGAGGTAAAGTCTCCATTGTCGATGGGTGGAGGGGGCCCACATTTTCCTTCAGGGCCTAATAAAACATTAACTGATTTGTTGGATGACCAAAGAAAAATACAGAAAAGCAATAAGAATATAGCAAAGTCCTTAATATTAAAACATGTGATTTCTACAAACATAAAGGTTTCATTGAAGGAAATTTAATCACTTAAAAGGAGAGTTACATTTTTAAGCCCTTTCACCCCACATGAAAGCACCCATAAGATGTTAGCAAATATATCTGCTTTGCCTTATTTCAGTATTAAAAAATGCTTTTCTTAGAGAATATAAGCTGAACAGATGGATGGCTTAGATACCAAAATGTCATTATTTTTATATACATTTTGTAGTGTCTATTGGATCTCTAGTCATTTTTTTATTATGTTCAGTTACCCAACATATAGTACATCATTAATCTTTGATGTAGTGTTCAACAATTCATTAGTTGCATATAACACCCAGTGCCCATCACAACACGTGCCCTCCTTGATACCCATCACTGGACTACTCCTTCCCCCAACCCCCTCCTTTCTGTAACTCTCAGTTTGATTCCCAGAGTCCAGAATCTCTCATGGTTTGTCTCCCTCTCTGATTTCTTCCCATTCAGTTTTCCCTCCCTTCTCCTGTGGTCCTCTGCGCTATTCCTTATGTTCCACATATGTGTGAAACCTTATGACAATTGTCTTTCTCTGCTTGACTTATTTCACTTAGCATAAGCCCCTCCATGTATCCATGTCAAAGCAAATGGTATGATCTCTAGTCATTTTCAACTGATTTTCATTTTTATTACAAAATAAATATCCTCCCCTTTAGTAAAATTCAAAGAATTGCAAATTTGTATAACATGAAAGGGAACTGCTGGCTTCCTGTTCTGACAAGATGAGGTAGAAACATTTCTGTTTCTAACATAAAAAGAGATGCCCAGGCCCAGAAAGACAGAGGTATTTCTTACAGTACCTGAATTACTCCAGAGAAACACCAGAGAAGAAATCTAAGACCACCCTTCAAAAGAGGTCAGATGAAGAAATCAGAGAGGGAGACAAAACTATCACATGATAATGTATGTGGAGGAAATACTAAAGAGCTTTATGTTTAAAATGTGGGGAGATGGAGGAGGAGTCAAGATGGCGGAGAAGTAGCAGGCTGAGACTACTACTCAGGTAGCGGGAGATCAGCTAGATAGCTTATCTAAAGGTTGCAAACACCTACAAATCCAAAAGGAGATTGAAGAGAAGAAGAACAGCAATTCTAGAAACAGAAAATCAACCACTTTCTGAAAGGTAGGACTGGTGGAGAAGTGAATCCAAAGCGACGGGAAGATAGACCACGGGGGGGAGGGACCGGCTCCCGGCAAGCGGCGGAGCAACGGAGCACAAAATCAGGACTTTTATTTATTTATTTATTTATTATTATTTTTTTTAAGATTTTATTTATTTATTTGACAGACAGAAATCACAAGTGGACAGAGAGGCAGACAGAGAGAGGAGGACGCAGGCTTCCTGCTGAGCAGAAAGCCCGATGCGGGGCTCGATCCCAGGACCCTGAGACCATGACCTGAGCTGAAGGCAGAGGCTTTAACCCACTGAGCCACCCAGGCGCCCCAAATCAGGACTTTTAAAAGTCTGTTCTGCTGAGGGTCATCGCTCCAGAGGCTTAACCGGGGTGAAGCCCACGCGGGGTCAGCGTGGCCTCAGGTCCCGCAGGGTCACAGAAGGATCGGGGGTGTCTGAGTGTCACAGAGTTTACAGGTATTAGAATGGGGAAGCCGGGGGGCGCCTGGGTGGCTCAGTGGGTTAAAGCCTCTGCCTTCGGCTCGGGTCGTGATCCCAGGGTCCCGGGATTGAGCCCCGCGTCGGGCTCTCTGCTCAGTGGGGGGCCTGCTTCCCTTCCTCTCTCTCTGCCTGCCTCTCTGCCTACTTGTATTCTGTCAAATAAATAAAATGTTTAAAAAAAAAAAAAAAAAGAATGGGGAAGCCGGCTACAGAGACAGAGCCGAGGAGTAAGCACTAAGCTCGGGGTTACCTTGAACCGGTCGCAGGCACGGTCAGCTCGGAGCGCGGCCGGAGGCCAGGGTGACGGGAGTAATTGGGCGCTGTTCTCTGAGGGTGCACTGAGGAGTGGGGCCCCGGGCCCTCGGCTCCTCCGGGCCGGAGACCGGGAGGCCGCCATCTTCATTCCCGCCCTCCGGAACTCGATGGAAAGCGCTCAGGGAACAAAAGCTCCTGAAAGCAAACCCGAGCGGATTACTCAGCCCGGCCCCTGGTAAGGGCGGTGCAACTCCGCCCGGCGCAAAGATGCTTGAGAATCACTACAACGGGCCCCTCCCCCAGAAGATCAACAAGAAGCCCAGCCAGGACCAAGTTCACCTACCAAGGAGTACAGTTTCAATACCAAGGAGAGCAGCGGAATTCCAGAGGAGGAGAAAGCAAAGCACGGAACTCATGGCTTTCTCCCCATGATTCTTTAGCCTTGCAGTTAATTTAATTTTTTTTTTCTTTTTCAATTTGTTTTCTCTTCTTCTGCCAAATTTTTTTAACTGTTACCATTTTCTTTTTTAACGTTTTTTAACTAGTTTATCTAATATATATATATTTTTTTCTTTATTCGTTTTCTTCTTTTTGTTTCTTTTTTTTTTTTTCTTTCTGAACCTCTTTTTATCCCCTTTCTCCCCCCTCACGATTTGGGATCTCTTCTGATTTGGTTAAAGCATATTTTCCTGGGGTTGTTGCCACCTTTTTAGTATTTTACTTGCTCCTTCATATACTCTTATCTGGACAAAATGACAAGGCGGAAA